GCACTGAACGGAATATAAGATGGCAAGAATAAATCTTATGAAGTGCCTGAATTAGTGAGATGATACAACAGCTGTTTTAGTTTGTAGTGATGACGGTAGGTTCTACAAAATATTCCTCTCCCCACCTCCCCGGCATTAAAAAAAAAGAGAAAGGATCAAGATTTGCATGATATGACACTGCCCACCTCTCCATATTAAGCATTGGTAGATTCTAGAGTGGTGGGGACATTTTCTCCAAAGGAAGTTGCCAATTAAACTTTCGCCTGAAGTGCATATAGTAAGATTTTATTATCAAATAAAAGTAGTTAAAGAAATCTGTACTGGTTTGGTTGCTATAGAAATCTGCATGTCATTCCTTATGTTGTCATGACTGAGAATGTATAGAATAGGCTTAAAACTTAAAGGGTTCCTAATTTGTACTTCCAGCCACTTTCAATACATGTGAGTTACTGTGGGCTGGCATTTTATTCTCTGTTGTTATTAGTTATTACAATTTTGTACTTATGTATTTTGTTCCAGATTTTATTTATGACACACAACACGAGCCCTATTTGGAATACATAGTTTTGTTCCAAATTGTCGTGAGTCCCATGGGAATTGGAAAAGGATTCCTCCATTCTAAACTTATATTTTAAAAGCTCATGTGCAAAGCAAATAGTTTCTGCTGCAACACATGGAATTTAGTGCTAGTACTGACAAAATCAATAATCTCAATAATTCTAGTCTGAACACATCATAGTACTGAATTTGTTAGCTCGTGTACGTTATTTGTAGGATTTTTCATAAATGATTGCAATCTCTTCTCACATGTTTATGCTTGATCTGATTTTGAATTTTGTTTACAGTTTTATCCAAGCTTGTTGATAATTTATATATGTCAAGTATAGAATATATTAATTGTTTATTTAAGTATTGTAGCAACAGTAGGCTCTATGCTAGTATGTTACTAATTTCTATCATTTGATCATTACAGGAAAGCTAGAGATAGGCACTAAGCTTGCAGAATTTTGTTCACATGCTTTGCTGGCTTTGGATGTCCTTACACATCCTCGAGCACTTTCTCTAGAAAGTGCAGCTCCTTCAGGCCCTGGACTCACCTACGGTGCACCTGAAAAGGCAATTTTCGGTACTGAAAAATATAGGTTTTCACTGTCTGGAAACCAATCTCAGGCTTTGGAGGATGACGACCCTTATGATGATTGGTTGACATCCACCAAGGTCAGTGAACCAACAGGTTCTCCAGCGAAAGATAGCCCTGTAGGAAAAGAGAAAGCAATTGAGAAGTCGCAAGGTGAAAAGCAAATCACCCCTGTGGAAGAACATCAACAAATAGATTTAGCTGTAGTTCCTGCGGCCATACAAGACGTTCCAACGTCTGGGAAGACTGATATTGAAATGGCGGATGCGGCCACTACAGAAACGGTCAATCTAAAAGCAACGGATAATCCTTCAAGCTCCAATGATGGTTTAACTCAAGTCCGCACACTGCTACCTGATCTCAACCAACAGGTAGCTGCCCCAGTCTCCGACGAAGGGCACACTGACATTGTCGATCATCTTCGGAACAAAACGTCAGCTTTTGATGCATCATTAAGCAAAACAGTAACTGGAGGTGAAGCACCGCAATCTGGTTCTGGTTCTTCCCACTTCATGCAGTCCAGCAAAACTGATGATTCTGATGTGGAATCAGAAGATTCAATGCCAGGTATTGTTGATGGCGACCCTGACTCTGACTAGATTTGAATAACATTTAATGTATCAATGTATCTTGCTTTTTAAGACTGAGTATATGTCATGGACTAATGATCGTCAGAAGCGTTAAGGCTGTTGTATTCCATCACTTACCTTGACAAACTACTAGCATTAAGTAGAGCACAGCATGATTGATCATGACGGAGCCACTTGTTACTCCTACAATAGATGTCGCAGTAAGGTGGCTTCGACGGAAATATTTTTCAGGCATTTTGCATTGGTACTGGGTATTGTCTGGTGGGTTTTATATGTGTTTTCTGGCAGTGAACATCCGGTTTGCACATTGATTTGCAAACAAAAGCAAAAATTTGCAAGCATGCTTGAAATCTCCTCGAATTGGGAGCATAAGATATTTAACAGCTTGTCTTGAGTCTTAACGTGGGGGCAGAGATCCTAACTAAGCAGATGAGCAAAGACGAGTAAAGTCACGGAGGACACAACTATACTATAGGACGTGACTAAAGTACGTTGATCATGTGCACTTGTTGGTTTTAACTTTTAAGTAGCTAACCCCTCTCTTATTGCTAAAAGTAGCATATATATTTGTGCACGTTTGTTTCTTTCAGTAAGTTTAAGAGTTATTTCTATGTGGAATTACTTCTCTTTTTTCACCACAGATTTTCCTTCTTTTGAAATACAATTACTTATACTTTAAATGTTTTCTTATAGTTACTTTCTATCTGATGCGAAATAAAACATATCCAATCATCGTTAAAATAAATATATCCTCACGTTGATATATGTAATGGCCGGCCCTGGATATTTGTACATGATTGTGAAAAGTTATTTATATTTTCCCCAGAGTTACTTCTGTTTTTTAAAAAAAGTTACTTCCTATATGATATAAAATTACTTTTTTCAAGACAAAAAAATATAGGCGCTTTCTTCAAATAAAACAAAATTCATGTATTTACTTCATATAGTTCTTTATTCCAACTCGTTAACTGTTACGTCCAATACTATTGAGAGTTACTTCTACCGCTGAGCTATAACTAGGTGAAATCCCGCGTATTGCTGCGGGAATTTAGTATGATAATAATAAAAAAAATAACATGTAAGATAGCTAGATAACATCAGATTAAGTAAATTAATGTTGTTTATGATAATTTAAATTTAAATAGTATGTAGAATGGTGATTCAAACGTAAACGTAAAAAGTAAGGTGGTATGATTTTATGGAATAAGAAAAGTAGGGAGATAGTTTGGACCGTAGATTAATCATCTAAAGGCTAAAAACAATTAATGTGATATGACTTAATTAGAGAAAGAAAGGAGAAAGATAATTTGAACCATGGATTAATCATTTAAGCACTAACTAAGTGAGAATGAACTATATAAATATATATAAGTATATAGGATATCATAAAACATAATAAAGATATACATTGTAACATTATGTGAATTATGTTGGGTGATAATTTAACATGTTTGTATATGAAAAGCTCTTAAATTATAAAAACTATAAATATATAGCATGTTTGCATGATGTTTAAATGTGATGATTGTTAGTGGATGATGATATGACATCTTGTTAATTAGTGGATGATGATGTGGCATCTTGTTAGTGGATGATGATGTGGCATCTTTGCATGTTAAACTTAAGGAGTTAGTGGGGGATAACTTTATAGTAAGATAGGATTTGAATAATTTGTTTTTAAATATTTAGAAATTAAATGTATTCAATAATAGGCTTGTTTCGCTATACATTTTAAGTGGAGTACGATGGTTTTAAGCATGTAGTATACTATTTAAAACATATAGTATATAATCAGAGATATAGTACATATTATGTAGAGAGAAAATTGACTAGTATTATATGACCATTTTGGCTGATGACTGCTTTTTTATTTTTTGAACTAGGGCCAGCAGGCCCCCATTTCTTTTACTATAAACGAGATAATGTCTCCTAAACAGAGGTTCTAGAAAAGAAAAACACAAAGAAAGATCGGAACATCTGGTGAAGGGAACCGGGGGTAACATTTCCACCCTTTTTCCCAGATTGAGTCTAACTATTCAAAAGCTATCGGCCTATTACGGCTGTGTTTAGTTCACGCTAGAATTGGAAGTTTGGTTGAAATTGGAATGATGTGACGGAAAAGTTGAAAGTTTGTGTGTAGGAGAATTTCGATGTGATAGAAAAGTTGAAAGTTTGAAGAAAAACTTTAAAACTAAACACGGCCTACAGGGCTTTCCAGAGCCCAAAACAATATCACAGAGACAGGGCGAGGAATTATCACGAAGCAAAACACAGACATCACAGTTTTTCTAACATTTTGGTTGATGACTGCTATTAAACTTTCCTTGCATCACGATTAATGCGGCCTGAACCAATCAAATAGCCAATCGGTGGCCCATGCGGCGTGATGCGATTAGACTAACAGTACCTACACACTCACTTCCTCCGTCAAAAAATTAAAATAAAAAATTAGATGGGATAGATCTTAGTAAAATAAATCTGAACACAAAGGGAGTAGATTTCGTAATATCTAACTATAGCCCATTTTTAATATTTGGAATCGATATGTTGAACCAGATATACATGGCATACCATTACAACACATCAATAATATTTTCAATTCACGTCAAAATATGATATGCTCCCCCATATCATATCATATTATAAGGCACTTTAATTTTTTTTAAAGCCAAACTTGTTTGAGTTTTATCAAATTTATAGAAAACGATAGCAATATTTTCAACATTGAATGAACATATTATCAAATTTGTAGATTTCTATAGTCTATAAAAACATGGCAATTGTGAGAGTTGTTATATTTCTCTTCAAATAATATATAAAAGTATCCCCGAAAAAAAGATAATATATAAAAGTATATGGTATCCACTATCCAAGTGTAGCCCAGCTATAATGTTTTGATTTATATTGGGATCAAATATGATAATTTTAGACAAATTTTGCTACAGGACATCGTGACTTCGCGGCTTTATCAATAGGACACCACAAGAAGTGACTTTCAGGGAAAACACTCTATAAATGTGATAATTTGCCAGCAGATACAACACCCATTAAAATAAATAATTTTTGGTTTGAGAGGAGAGAAAAATCGTGTGAAATATAAAAATACCCCTGGACCCACATGTTTGCTCTCCCATCTCTCCTCTCTCTCTCCGTCGGTGTCGTGGAGGTCATTGCCAACTAAGGGGAAGCAGCGCCGGTGGGCAGGAGAGGGAGGCATCGCGTGCAAAACCAGCCATGGCGGTGGCTGTGTTCATGTGCAACTCACAGTGCCTATGTTTGGGGTATCCTCGAGCGCCTCGCCTCCACTATGGAGGTCTACAGGGAGAGGAGTAGGAGGAGGGGGCACTTGCGGACGATGTTGGCAAGGACTAGTGGCCGTGGCGGCAACGGAAGGCTCGCTGAAGTCGTCGAACGAGGCAGACAAGCAGGTTCCCTCTTGGGTGCACTGTCACGCCCAGAAGTTTCCACTTTTTCTTGCTTTAAAAATTGGTTAAATAAATTGCCCGAAGAAATTATCTTAATTAACCTAGAGCTAAATCCCTAGTTAATAAATGCAATTAATAATCGGAAATAGCGTGGTGGAATTTTTCTTGAGTTCCCCATGCTCCAATGCATTAACAAGATTTTTAGTGGAATTTTCAGAGCCTTGGAAATAATTTTAACCAATTAAAAATCACCAAAGTGCAATTTTAAATCCCAGGAAAAATCCTTTCTTTTTTTTCTTTTTCTTTTCCTTCTTTTTTCTCTATTGGGCCGTCGGCCCACTCCCTCCCGCGCTCGGCCTCCTTCCTTTGGGCCGGCCCGTTCCCCTTTCCCCTTTCTCCGGGACGCTGACAGGTGGGGCCCACCTGTCAGGTCGTCCCCTTCCTCCAGCCGCCCGCCCCACGACGGCAACCGCCGCCGAAACCGTCCGCGCCGCCGCCTTCTCCGCTCCACGCCGCGCCCCCACTCCGCGTCCCCACGTCGCCGCCCTCCCCGCCATTCCCGCCCGCACGCGCGCCGCAAATTGGCGGGATTCGATTTGAATCCCCCCTACTCTCTCTCTCTCCCCCCTCCCCACGTCGCCGGCCAAATCGGGGGGTTTCCTGGCCATGTCCGCCCCTCTCGAGCCCCTATAAAGCTTCCCCGCATCTCCCTCTCCCTTTTCCCCTTTTCGCCGTGCTCTCCCGTGCCTCCTACCGGTCACGCGCCGCTCGCCACTAGCGCCGCCGCATGCCGCCACCTCCGGTCGCGCGCCGCAGCCGCTAGAGCCGCCGCCGCGCCAAGCCGCCGCCGCCATTAGCATTGCCGCCGCGTGAGCCATCTCGGCCACCGCCTCGCGTCGCCGGAACCCCACCGGAACCCCATCTCCCTCGCGAGCCGGTGAGCTATCCATTCCCCTCCGTCTCCGGCCAGCCACTTTGGTCGTCGCGGTCGCCTTCTCCATCCCTAACTCCTCTCCTCCCCTCCTCTAGGTGTTGCCGCCGCTCGTCCGCCCCTCCTCTCGTCGGGTCATCGTCGCCGCCTTCGTCTTCCGCTCCGGCCGCCGTGTCGCCGGTGAGTCCTCCCTCCCCCTCCTTTCCTCACTTTCCCGCGAGCGCCGGCCATGCCGCTGCTCCGGCCATGCGCCGCCGCCTTTTGGCCGTCGCCGCCGCTTCCCGCACCGCCGGTCACCGCCGTCGGTGGCCGTGCCTCGCCGCCGCCTCGCCTTGGTCGGCCGGTCGGCCTTGAGGCCGAGCCGAGCCCGGCCGGCGCCTCCCTCGCCTCCCCTTTGAGCCACCGCCTGGTGGGGCCCACCTGCCAGGCGCCACCTCCCTCCCTTTGGAGCCGCTGACCCGTGGGGCCCACGTGCCGGCGCCCCCCCCCATTTCGCTGACGTCAGCCCTGGGCTTTATTGCGCAATAAAATGATTAAGGCTTTTTCTTTATTAGTAAAAACACAGTTTATCTTCTAAAATTCATAAGTAATTCATCCGAGCTCCGTTTAAGTCCATTCAAGTCTCAGTAAATCAAGAAAAATGCAAAGAATCCATTAAAAATGGTTTTGTTTCCTGTTTCAGTAGTCTTAAAGCATGTTTTGCTTGTGTGCTTTGTTTGTCGCGCAGGTTTCGGCCGTTTCGTCGATTCGCAGTTTCTCGAAGACGTTGCTGAGGTCTCATCAGTTCGAGAGTAAGGCAAGTCATGCTTTACATTTGATCATATTGTACCCAATTTACAAACACCCTGCATTTCTATTAAATGTTGCATTCTTTTACAATGTCATGTGGGATGGGTCCTATTATTTAGCCATTTATTGTTTACCATATGCCATTGATAACCTGGGTATCAAAATGATTAGATGTTGGTTTAGGAAATGCTTAGCCATGCTTAGCTCAACTAGTTCACAAAAAGGGATCACATTATTACATAGACTTTGTCTATTGGCATAGCTCTAGATTGGTGCCACCACAAGGGTGTCAGTTTATTAAAATATTCTGAATGGCGGGCTGTGAGTGCATGGTTTTGCTGGTCGCACCCATAGCAGTTAAGGACCGGTTCACGGGAAACCCTGGGAGACTTACCGTGCTTACCACAAGCGGGAGTGGGTAACTGCTTGATCTGAAGTATAGCTCGACCCTTTCCTAGGCACCGGTGGCGAGGGTGGGCGTGATGGAGTTGGGTCGGCCGAGGTGTTCAGTTGTCCAGCTGCCGGATTCACTGCGGCGCAAGAGGGGACCGCCCACTGCCTTTTGAGGGGTGGGGGTGAAACCTTAGCGTGGTGTGGATGGTTAGGGGATGGTTATGTGGAGGGTCTTGTCACGATTTCCCTCTTTGCAGTATCATGGTGATACTTCGGGGCATGGCGACATGTGTGGAATCGTGTCTTGTGGGTACAGTTGTACACCTCTGGCCAGAGTAAAACTATTCGAATAGCCGCGCCCGCGGTTATGGGCGATCAACCAGATTCACCGTGATTAGTCTCACCCCTAGTTTAGCTTAATGAACTGGTGTAGTTCAGGTGGTTGGTTGGGCCTGTTGCAACGTGGTGTAGCGTTGGACAGTGATTGGTTAATATTGATTAATTACTACAGCTGTTTTACTGCTTTCAACTACTGCTTTGAAATGCCTGCTTTATGCAAAAGAACCCCTAGCTTCCTTTGGTTATATCCTGCATCATACCTCCTCTTCCGGTATGACTTGTTGAGTACAGTGGGTAGTACTCAGTCTTGCTCTCTTTTCCCCCACACCAGAGTTGAAGTTCTTCTCAGTTGGAGCCGTCTCAGAGAGGTTGGTTTCGTCGCTGCCGTCAAGGTTTGCCTGTGGAGTGGAGTCGCCCGCTGCTGAAGTCAAGCTTCCCGGTTTAGCTCGCTTTTATCTTTCCCGCTGCATTTGTAATCTTTTATATTTTTGTAAGACGTGGGTCTGTATGTCAACAATTGTCGTTTGTGTACCCTGGCTGGTCCTGGACAGGGATTTAATGCACATTCAGCTTAGAAATTCTGGTTCGAGAATTTCTGGGTGTGACATGCACCCAGGCTCAGACGAGCCGCCGCCCTGGGCACACAAGGGCGGCAACGGGGGACAGCAAAAGCCCGTCGCTATCCAGCTACCCTTCTACGCCTACCTGCTCACCTCTGCCATCACCTTCATCATCGTTGTACGCCTCTCCACCCCTTCAACTCCTCTCTACCTCTCCGATCCCCAAATCCTATAAGATTCCCCATGGATGCTGCTACTCATGGCGACGCGTGCAGATTGGGTCCATCTTCGAGTACGTGAACCAGCGGCCGGTGGTCGGCGTGGTGAGCTCCGACAGCGCCCTGTACGTGTTGCTCCTAGGGTTCTTCGTCTTCACCAGTGTCGGAGGATGAACTCCTCGAGTGGGGACCGTGAGGCCCCTCCTTTGTTAGTTCGGCCGGGGGCAGCGGGTGAAAGTTGAGGAGTTGGAAGTATTGGGAGAAATCAAGGGGGTTGGGCCCTCGATGAAGATGAGACACCAGGGGTTTATCCAGGTTCGGGCCACTAAGAAGCGTAATAGCCTTCTCCTATGTATGATGATTTTTCTGAGCTTATAAAGTCTCTGAATCTCTGGTGTGCAAACTAGGGCTAAGCTTTTCACTTTTCGATCCCCGCCCCTCACTAGGCACAGTCCTCCTTTTATACTCCAAGGGGTTCCCACATGCACTGTGAGTGCCACCTAGTGAAGAGGAAAAATATTCTCTACACTAAATACGTGTCTCGTGCCTTAACCCGGTAGTCATCTGCACGTCGGCTATTGTGCGGGGCCCATCCAATCATGCCGGCTGACGGGTGACGTAGGCCGACACGGGGAGCGCCCCAGTCATTCACCATTTAATGGAGGAGGACTTGGGGGCGTTCATGCACCGGGAACACGATCTCGGGCACGTCCAGAGCGATCAAGCCGATTCCGGACGGTTGAGAGGAACAGAGCCTCTCATCATCGTGATGGAACAGGGCATACCTGCCGCACGCCGCCTGACACTCGGCCAGAGCGCGCATGGCTTGCCATCGTCCCATCTGTCATTCGAACGGTCACGCACCGGTCACAAGCTAGTAAGAAGAGCAGCACGGCGCATTTAGGTGGGCACTGGGGAGCGTCTACCTAACCTCACTTGCATGGCGGCCATGTGGTGACCGCCGGGAGAGTTCGGGGCAGTCCGACCCCTCGGGATTGGAAGGGGCAGCCACCACCCATCCACGGGCCCGACCCCCTCGGGGGAAAGCTTGGTTCTCCCCTTTAAGCTTGGTACCCTGGGCCCATATCATCGACAACCGGGATACCCAACGTTGGCCGCCACCGTGCTCCTTAGGTGCACCTTTGATGGTCGCCAATGCGCTGCTTCCCGTCAGCGACGATGATCCCCATGGCACCGACAGAGGGGAGGGGGATAGAGAGGATAGAGATGGGGGAGCTAACACGTGGGTCCAAGGAAATTATTAGTTTAATGAGTGCAGTATCCGCTGGCAAATTATTACGTTTATAGAATATATTTCCTCAAAAATCACTTCATGTGGTGTTCTATAAACACGAATTCACGATTTTCCGTTGGAAAATTTGTCATAATTTATGATCCATACCGTGGATCAGCTAAGGCCCATCAAACAAGCTCCTACATCCAGAGCCCGTCCACGCCAGCTCACCTCGCCACTCCTCTCGGTGCCTATCCATCCTATAAATATGGCCGCCGCCGCCATCGCCGCCGCTTCACTGCTCCCCTCCTCCGCCTTCGCTCTCCGCCGTCTCTCCTCGGCGGCGAACGTCTCCCGCTTTGCCCAGCTCAAGGTAACCCCGGTTGAAACTCAACGAAATTCGTCACCGGGATCCTTTCCCCCCCCCCCCCCCCCTCACCGGATTCTTGAGTTTCTCGCGCTTGTTTCGCTCACCATGTCTTGGTTGGGGTTCTCTGATCTCTCTCCCTCTTCTGTAGAGATTCGACCGGGCTCGCCGGTTCGCGCCGGCCGCCGCCATGTCGACGTCGTCGGGGCCGAAGGAGGCGCCGGCAAACAACCCGGGCCTCCAGGCGCCGTCGGAGAAGGACCCCGCGACCAAGGGCTACTTCATGCAGCAGACGGTAATCCCTCTTCGCTAGGCTATTTCACTCCGCTGGTTGATCGCTCTTCGAGTTTTCGTTTTGGTAGAATTGGGTGTCTGATCTGTGGATTGGAAGAGAGTACGCCTAATTCCCCCAACATTTGGGGGAAATTCGGATGATGCGTCGGTGCTTGATGTGGCTTGGTACCAACATTGCAGTGTTAGTATTCATCAGGTGACTGAACTTCAGAACTTTCAGTCAAATTTAATCATGGTTGATCCATCGATAGTTCATCCTTGGCGAGGGCGACTTCACCAACGACCGGGGATGGTGGTGAATGGTGATGGCGTTGCTCGCTTTGATGTTGGGTTTCAGAGTGGTAGGAGGGTCTCCTGGGTTAAGAGGGATGGCTGGGGCAGTAGCGGTTCGCTCTGGGCTGCAGTCGGGCAGGGTGGTGAGGACGTGGCGGTGCTGCCCCGGCTGTGGGAGACGAGGGCTGCGGGCCAGTGTCAGGTCTGGGTTGGCTCGTCGGAATGGTTAGGAAGCGGGGGCTGGGGTGGCAGATTCGACATGAACAATGGTATCACAGATGGGGGAGGAGAGGCGGAACGGGGAGAACGCGGCGTTGTTGAGGAAGAGGGGCTGTGGTGGAGGGAGGGGACAGCTGACAGGCGTTTCCGGTGCCAGGCACCTTCCGCTGAGACGGAGGCAGGTACCACGCTTGGTGGCTGGTGGGGAAGGAGTGGCGGTGTTGGCGGGGTGGACATCAAGAGTTAAGGAGAGAACCGGGCTAGGTTCATGGAGCTAACCTGGCCCATCCAAAAGTGACTGGCACTTTAGGAAAAAAAATCACTGGGACAGTTTCTCTTCCTTATCTTTGCAGCATTTTTGGTTTTACAACTGCAAATTTAGCCTGATCGAACATATTGATGCCTATGTGCTCAGTTCAAGGCTAATAGCCAATATCCTGGAGTTGTGTGGATGTAGCATATCATAGAAAATTTATCTAATATTGAGCACTTTTTGTGGGGCAAAGGGTAACCCACAATCCACTATAATACTTTGCAGTACTCTTTCTGGTAAAAAGTCTTAGGTTAATTGTTTTATTTGAAATTGATATGGGCAACTCATTTTGCTTGGATTGGTTTAAGGGTGTTTGGTAAGTTTCTTTTCTTCTGTTAAGCCATGAATCTACCTTGGTTTCACATTTGGTTGATTGGTGGGCCACCATGTTATTAGCAGTTTTGATTGATTGGTTTTTTTTTATTGAATGATTAGGAAATTCTGTTCTTTTTCCTTGCAGATGTTCCGTGTAAAGGATCCAAAAGTGAGTCTCGACTTCTACTCGCGTGTGATGGGCATGTCGTAAGTTTTGTCCCTTATCTTCATCATATAATGTACAGTTCTGTATAGCGTAAAACATTACCACCTCATGTGTTCTCTCATGTTAATTAAAGCATCGATGTTCAGGGAACAAAAGAAGGTAGAACTGTGTGCTCAGAGTCTGATTTGCAATATCACGATAATCCGTGAGACCATGATATTAGGGGCATCGCATTTAGAAACCACTTAATACTTCGACCAAGTTAAAATAATCATACTAAAATTTAATTTTTTTTCACACAATTTGTTTGGAAGTCACCAGTTTTCGTTGATAACTGATTGTTATAGTCGTATCGAGGAAATTGCAGAGTCTGAACAATATTGGGAACCCTGACTCCAGACATATTCTGAAGTTTTCTTTGTTGTACCTGTGGAACACAAGAAAAGTAATTGATGAGTCAAGGGAAACAATAAATGTATTACTAAGCAGATTCACTTTTTTCCTGAAAGAGAATAAGCTCAATTGGGTTATATTAAACTCAAATATTTGATTTGCCATATTACTAGGTTCCCTTAGATAGGTCTTTGGTATACGCTTGACAATCTATTTCGAACAAAATGATAAAGTTATGAATTCTGGAGTACACCATTTCCTAGCTTTTTCATTCCACTGGTCTGAAAAGATGACGAACAAACTTCAGATTAGCTATAAAAAATGTTAGATATGTTAATAGTAGGAAACGCAGTGGTTGGAGTATCACGATATGAAATTATAAGTTAAAGTGGTCAACTGAAAATTTCTTCTGGAATGATTTTACCTTCACGGGCAATGTTAGGGTTGCTTAGTAGATATTACGTATTACATCTGTTAACCTTTTGTAAGGCGTATTTGATTTTAAAAAAACTGTCAAGTTTAAATTTTGATAATTCATTTCTATGTGAAAGTTCTTTGAAATATGAATTGATTGGCCTAATTTTTGCACACTGGGTGTAGTTATAACCTGACTAATAGTTACACTGGGTCAGAATCTATGGATTTTGAAATTAAAGAGTAAAAATGAAGGGCCAGGTTTCCTTACCCGTGTTGCACAATGGACCGGATGCTAGCACATATTTTCACTTTATACCAGGTATAATTATTAGGGTTGATTGACAACATGGGTAAGAAACATGGTCCATTCTCATTTCCGAGTTTCTGTGAGATTTCATGAAAAGTACTTTGATGTTGATGCCAACCAAAAAATAGTTAAAAAAATCAAGTACGGTTCTTGTTATTTTTTATGAAATGTGTTTATTTATTTATTTTCTTTTTGTCTGAAACAAAAAAAAACTGTTAGGTTGCTGAAAAGATTGGATTTTCCTGAGATGAAATTCAGCTTGTATTTTCTTGGTTATGAGGTATGTGTTTCTGTCAATTGGTAAAAAATATAGATGACTTGAACATGAGAGGTTACATAAAAACCATACAATGCTTTAAAACATGTACATTGAATCTGTTTACAGGATGTGGAATCGGCCCCTACTGATCCTGTAAAGAGGACTGTTTGGACTTTTGGGCAAAGGGCTACACTTGAGCTCACACAGTATGTGTTTTTATTTTGTAATCTTGTCCTTCTCTCTGTACTAATACATTTTATTTCCCATGTTAGCACGTCACTCATATATCTCCCTAATACTGTAGCAACTGGGGCACAGAAAATGATCCTGAATTCAAAGGTTACCATAATGGGAACTCAGACCCTCGTGGTTTTGGTATGTGCAATGAGAATTCATATGCAATTGATATGATCGCTTCTTTTTCTATCATTATATGACTTGATATCTTCTTGTTGCCATAATAACCTCTTAGCTGATGCAACACTTGTATTTTCTTCATTCTGTTCATTCAGGTCATATAGGAGTAACTGTTCACGATGTCTATAAGGCGTGTGAGCGGTTCGAACGTCTTGGGGTAGAGTTTGTTAAAAAGCCAGATGATGGTAAATTATTTTTACTTAGCCTTTTTATTTTTTATTCATCATCAGTGTTGTGTGGTGTTCAAATGCATATTCTACACAAATCAGGATCCTTTCAAAGAGAATCTTCTCAAACTTGAGTGGAAGTGCTTTTCCTATTACTTAATGACAAACAAGAAAAGTGCATGATTAAAAGGAACTTTGTTAAAATTGGTAAGGTAATGGTATCATATACATAGGAAGGATGCAGGCTGTGGTAATTTTTGAGCTCTAGCTTTATCCTGGTATTATTCAGGCCCTATATTTTCTGGAAGAGAAACCGGTGATTATGTACCTCCTACCATGCATCTGTACCTTGTGGAATTGGACGGAGCAGTTCTTTTCTTGTTTCCCACTATTGTGTTTGCATCTTATGAATTTCCATCTGTATTTTGCTCTCGTAATGTTGAAAATGAAGATATTTAGAGCAACAACGTAAATGTATTAACACGGCTTTTGGCTGCAGGTAAAATGAAGGGCATTGCATTTATCAAAGACCCTGATGGCTACTGGATTGAAATATTTGACCTGAACAGAATTGGGGCGGTGACTGCGGAAGCATCATGATGTGTTTGAAATGCTATGAACTCTAGTTATGCAGCTGGGGTAAATCATTTCCTTGTTGACAGGTGCGACGTGCGAGACGATAAAACTCCAGCTACCCATGGGCATATATACAATATACTTGGTCGTTTAGAGCAACAAGTTATAGATTGTGATACCCTGTTTGCTGGTCAGTGTTTGAAGCTTGAACTTAACATTGCACTGTAACCGTTTCTGCGTTAAAGATTTTGGCCTCATACCGCTGCTGGCCTCTCTCTCCCCCTCCCTCCCTCTCTCTGGGGTACTTGTATTACCTATACTTGGTTGCTTGGATTGGTCCCCCTTTTTTTTTTTGACAAATTGATCCTTTTCAAAAGCTTACTTCGAAATTAGACCATGCAAAAAAACTTTAACCAAAATGGTGGCATGCTCTATTGTATCAAATGCTTTTTCAAAGTCTAGTTTGAGAATCAAGATCTCCCATTTCATTTTTGACTGTTGGCACTGATGGATATACTCAAATGAACATGCAAGATAGTCATGAATTGTTCTCCCTTTGACAAAACCGCAAAACCATATCGTTTTTCACGTATTATTTTCTTAATTACCCCTTATAATCCGTTAGCCATCAGCTTAGTCAGAATCTTCAAACTAATACTCATAAGAGATATTGGTGTGAAGTCATTAACACCTTCAGGGTTAACTTTTTTAGGGACAAGGGTGATGAAGGAAGAATTAATACACTGTAGATCAACATTCTTATCATGAAAATGGGAAACTAGCCTGTAAAAATCTTGAGCTATTATTGGCCAACATTCCTTGATAAAACATCCATTGAACCCATCTTGCTCAGGTGCTTTATCAATTGGGAGTCTCCTGACAAGATCATCAATTCCCGTGAATAAAAAAATATCCCCAAACTATCCAGATTTTAAAATTCAGCCAAATCAAAGGTCATTTTAGGATGAGATGTAATGCCCATTAGAAAGGAGTAAAGAGAGAGAGAGAGAGAGGCCTTGCCTTGGTGCGGTGAAACCATTGCCATCATTTATGTGAGCAATTGTATCATATAAACCTTAGGGACCACCTGTACAGTTGTCGACAAATTTTCTACTAAAAATTTGACGGATGTAATTATAGTACAATCGTAGTGCAATTACATTGTAACTTATATGTAATTACACTGTAACTTGCATGTAACTACAGTGTAACTTGTATATAAGTTTCATGTAATTTTGAATCTTTAGATCTATTACAAGATTTGTTTTGGTGAGGAAGAAAAATAAAATCACAGCACATACATATGTAAGGATTTGTTTCCACAACCTCTATTTTACCGAAATAACATATTACGGAGAGATTTTTGAAAGTTACATACAAGTTACACTATAGTTACAGTGTAATTACACTACGATTGTACTGTAATTACATCTGTCAAATTTTTAGGAGAAAATTTGTCGACAAATATATACCAAAATCGTAAACCTTATAGTTTTTGCCTACAAGTTTTGTCCATGGTACTGTGTTACTCTTTTACTCTTCAACCAAGCCAGCGTGGTCTACGTCGTCCAATCTGCCACGCGTCATCGATCCGTCCCCTCTTCCGCTTCTACCCTACCGTGAGGTCGCGATTGGTTTCTCCTCCGGTTTTCCCCATCGATCCCCTTCTGCGCTGCCTATTCCTCTTCCCCGCCGCCTGCTAGGGTTACTGCTTCATCGCGGCCAACGCCACCGCCGTCCACCGTCATCCTTGACCGCCGCCGCTGGCCGGGTGAGCTTCTTCCACGCCCGCCGGCGTCCATCTCGCGTCGCTCCTCCGGCCATTTCTTCACCTCCTCGACTCCCCGAAGCTCCCGCCCGCGTGAGCCACCAAATGCGGCTGGCGGAGGAGGCGGGGCTGGCCAGCCCGCTCGACGAGCTCCTCCCGCCGGTGGACTTCTGCTGCGCGTACGGCTCAACCCTCCTCCACGCGCGCTCCGGCGCGGCCTCCATGATCGACTACATCCTCGGCATCCCCGACCCGCTCCAGTGGCACTCCGAGGTAGGGTGATTGATCACCCCCCCCCCCCCCCCCACTTTTCTACTCTTCCAGATTAATCCATCCAATTGGCCCCCTTCTTTGATTTGATGCGATCTTGGACGGTTTCTTGGTTGATTGATTGGTGCAGAACTTGGAGAGGAATCCCGCGCACTACTCCGGATGGATGGCTCGCCTCGGCCCCGGCGCTGTACGCACTACTCTGGATGGATGGCTCGCCTCGGCCCCGACGCTGTATGCGTTCATTCCTCACCTTTAAATTGGTTGCTCCTCTAATTGTTTTGTGTGATTGAGATTACTCGGCTTGCGGATAGCATCGGCGTTGGGGTGTACTTCAATCCATTTGTTGAGTGGAGGGACAAGGTAGCATTTGCAACGAAGCCTCCTGAATTTTGTAGCCTGATGCTTTGACTGCATTGTGGCCTACTTGTCTTCCTGTACGTGCATTGAGTTCTAAGTGACAATTGTAGCTATGTGGATGCAGAGGATAAAGTACGCCGGAGGATTAATGATGTCTTAACTAACATGTATTTTTCATAGCTCTATGTCTGTTGTTTTTTAGTTATGATCCATACAACTATCAATGGAATAATCATCCGCTTATTATTGCAGGGCAGTGAATCGATGATGCCATTACAGATAAGAAGAGCACTAAGTCATATCACTGGAATATATTTTCCTTTTCTTGCTTTTGATCAAAGAGTTCTGCCGTAGTTGTTCGTCTTTCCCAAGGCAAGTACTATATATATATATATAAAAGTTAAAAATATAGGCTATACTCCTCTGATTTGTATGTACAAAGAACCACAGCATCTAAATATTGCACTCAATGTTTATGCTAGTATTGCCTAGGATTTAAACCAATGATGGTTTCATGTGTTGCTCTAATTTTACTCATGCTTTCTATACCCTTCGCTATCAGCAAACATACCTTGTCTACTAATTTTAAAAGGCCAAACAATTCCTGCTGATATACATATCTTTCTAGTTTACATTTACAAAACATTATAGGTTCATATAGCTTCGTTCTAATGGGTTTCAGACCATCTAGGATTGGTGTTCTATCATGTGATTCTTCCTTAAAATTTGATGGAATGACTCCATTCCTCATTTCTCTACCTAATGTGTGCTTTTGAGAAATGAGTTGATGATAGACAAATGCATTCCATCCCTCTTACCTGATATGTGCTTTTGAGAGATGAACTGATGATGGACAAATCATAGTGTCTAGAACACATTTAGCCCCTTTGATTTGTAGCAAAAACATAGGAATTTTGGAGGATTTCAAGGAAATTCATTCATTTATTTGATCTGTGGTTGTACAATATGGCTCTATCCATATGATTAAGCACAACCCTTTTTTTCGCCAGTTTCTATTTCTTTTCTTTTCTTTTTCATTGTTACAAAGGAGTAAAGGGCTTTGCTGATATTTACATTCTTATTCTTAGGTCGGAGCTGGTTTGCCTGTGATAGCTTCCGTAACCCACATTATTGCCTCTGGAGATCCAGTTTGTTTGCTCTGGTTTTCTCATATTGTTGGTAGTCTGAGTGGTACAAAGCTATTATCTTATTTATTTGTAAAAAGTGTCAGTTTTCCAAATAACAGAGCAATATACACTTCCATTTGTATGAATCTGCAGGTACACTTGGTTATGTGATGAGTGAGCTGGAGGATGGAAAGAGATTTAGTGAAGTTGTGAAAACTGCTAGGTCTCTTGGTTATACAGAACCAGGCCAAAAAAAAAATTTCATTCATTTGTGGCATTATAAGATTAATGTGTACTCAGTATTCATTCGTTATCTGTCATTGCAGCTTTCCTGAATTTAGTGATGCTTGTGATAAGTTCACTTACTCAGCTATTTAATTTTGGTAGATCCACGTGATGATCTCAGTAGGATGGACGTAGCTAGAAATGTTAGATGCCTTAAAAGTTTCCATCTGATGAATTACATGCTACTCTACATAATTCACTTTATCTGTGTATTTGTTGACCATTGTCGCTGTTTTGTTCAACTCCTATGTCCATGAACTAATATATCATGAACTGCATGCTGCTGTGTATCTCTTCTTTTTTGTGTTTAATTGTTCGTACTGGGATTTGATCCAAAATACTCCACCTGTTCAGGGAGGCCTGTGTTATGCACTGATCCTATTTGGAATTTAAGTAAATAACTTGCAATAGCTATTGGAATATGGTTCAAATAAAGTATTTTCAGGTTTAGATGTTTTATTTCATTCTTTCATTCTTTGTCTATTAGGTGTGAGGACTAACAAATTCATATTTGAATGCAGGCATTGATCTTAGCTAGGCTTCTGGAGCAACGGATGGGCATGGAGAATATTAATGTATGCATATATTTACCATTGTCAATATTTGTGTGCTTTGATGTTAATATAAAAATTGGCTCAGTGTGCATGACTGCATGCATGGTTTGATATTTTTATTATCGCTGAAATTTGTGGTAGCAAGTTATTTTACTGTTATTCTGGCTGTTCCGCAAGTGTGTGCTTTAGAAATACTTTTGTTTTTCCCGCCTTCTGTGTTTGTCCGTGGAAGTGCATATATATACATTCTATGAGGTTGCTAAGGTTTTAGTTCTGATACTATGAACAACTCCGAAACTGTCCATGTTTATTCTTCATTGTTTTTAAAAAACTCTGACTTTCATCGACTACTAAAGCTAGAATGTACATATCAAATGAAATTTATTGTTACAGTCCATGCAAGTCGCAGTTACTTATACACAATATGACCATTTATTAAATATATATAAACACTGTTGATAGTATTTTTCTCTTCGTCGAATCTTGACCACCAAGTTGCAGGTGTCATTGTAGGACATGCTTCTGGTATGAAGAGTGAGTATATGGGTATCAACACATCGTCATTCGCCTTAAACATTGTACGACATATGTTTTACAGTAGGAAGTGATACATTGCCTCCTTGCAAGCCACCTCTGCCTCTAGAGTGTCTACAGAGACATATCTTAGGAATTCTGTTCCGAATGTCCGCCTGAATGCTCCTCATCGATTTATCGAAACTGTAGTATGTCCTAATTATCAAATTTATAATATTATGAAATAATTTTGTGTTCTACATACAAATTATGCACAACAATATTGCTATGGTGCCAGATAGTTAGCAGCTGCCCAACAAAGCATGATATTTATTCATCATGTACCTTTAGTTATCATATATATATATACACTATACTTCAGACAATATACACTGTTCAAAAACACTATTTATTCGGCTGATTACTATTCAGTTTACTGTTCAATACTGTTCACTTCGAGAGATATTTTAACTTTAGGATCTTTGCAGGGTGGCGAATCCTACTTAGACAGCCTCAGAAGCTTGTTTCAGATGATGTGAAGTCCTACTCGGTACTCACCGTATGCCTCACCTATCTGTCTTTTTAGAAGCAACTTAAAAAGATATTCCAAGTCACACTTATTCTAGCTAAGAGTTTATCGTCTCCCCAGGCAGTTTCACCCGAAGGGAACACTTCTCTACGGATGCCGATTCTCCAGACGCCTATGCAAGATGCAGGCTAAAAACGAGAACAAACCGTAGAGGTTTCTCCTATAGGGTCCTTAGCATAAACACTTGTCTAGAACAAACGTGCAGGAATAGTTAAGGAAAATTACTTCATATTAAACAGATAAGCTTACATACGGTTTTCCCTTTCGGGAAACCCGAAGGTAGGTACAAGCAAGCTGTTCTTACCTTACACAGCGTTATAACACAACTCCTTGCTTCAATATACTATGCAAGGTAGGCTAAAGTCACTACTACTAAGAACGGTGGAATGGAGGGTGAGAGCGCGCTTGGAAGCTTTGCTCTGAATGGTGTCTTATATATATATGTATGTTGTGTGTGTGTGTGTGTCATGAAACCTTTGTTGGTCTGAAAAACATTGCCCATAGTTTCTTTCTGCTTTATCAATATAAAGTTTGAGCAATCAAGTTGATTTAAATTATACAAATTATTAGGTACGGAATATTGGTTTCTACTTATTTCAATTTAGTTAAAACTCCTTAATGTCAGCAGCAACGCGCGGGGCCTCCATCTAGTTGCATCTAAACCTCTCAGTAGCCAGTGCATAAAAGAACCCTGTGTTTTCCTCTCCCAATTTGATCCATCTATTTGTACATTTTTTTCAATATATTCTTCTAAACAGAAAGAGCTTGGACAAATGTTTTTTCACAATCTCTCTAAAATTTTCATTATATAACTGTCAAGGTTCTAAGCTCCTCAATCAGATCCATGAAATCTAACACCTTATTGTAGAACGAGATCAACTGCAACAGTTTGGAAAGACCCTTACTCCACTTTAATAAACATTTTCTTAAAAACTTCAATTTGTGAGAGATACATTTAGCTGGGTCATGAAACCCGGGATTGATAAGCCAAATTCGAGCTACTTGATAAAGAAACCTTCCATTTGAACCCAATGATTTTCAAATCGAAACACATTGGATTTCGGTATAGATGATTCAATCTTTATCAAAAAAAGGTACATGATCTAAGATAGCTCTAGTCATGGTAATGACAACTGAGTTAGGGCACTTTAATGTCCATGTATTAGAAGTATAGACCCAACCAAGTTGTTCAAGAATAGGGTTGGTCTGCATATTACTCCAAGTAAAAGATCTTCCTTTTATGAGAATTTCAATAAAACCCAAACTGCTTATAATATCATTGAAGATAAAAAATATTATTCATATCAACGCCCTGGCTTATTTCTATTATCAATAGACTGATAGAAATTAAAATCCCCAGGATAACCCAGGCGTCATCTTTCTGCATTTGAAAGGTTCTAAGCCAATCCACAAAATCATCCCTTTAGCATGTGTTTGGTTTGGGGACGAAGTGGGATGGGTTGGGTTCATCCCTATTTTCTGGAATAGGATGGTTCTATTTTTTGTTTGGTTAGAGAGATGGAGCGCACCCTATTTTTTGTTTGGTTAGAGGGATGGAGTGAGATGGAATAGTTCCATCACCTGTTTGGATGGAGGGATAAGGTGGGATATCCGGATAAAAATACTTCCTCAAATAGAATTGGTGAGGTTACCTCTCACATGAACAATATATTTTTAGCACCTACAAAAATTTAGTAAACTCTCACACAAAAAATACATTCGTAGCAGCCCCAAAAATTTAACAAAAAGATAAATATGTTGCCATATCATACTCAAGCACTAATTAATCATCTCATCACAAATTACTTGCACACATCACAAACTAATTCTTGCTCACATAAAAAAAAGTCTACTGAAAGAACATGTACAGATCTGAAACGAAATCCCCATCCAATGTTGTCATCGGGATTCTGGGAGGATTGGAGAAGGAAGATCGCGCGTGCTGCTGACGTTGGAGGCCGATGGCGGATGGAGGCTGGTTGGACACCGCCATGGCTGCCGCCGGCTCACCCCAGCTCGCGCGCTCCTGCCGCCGGCTCGCCCATGCTCGCGTGCTCCTGCCATAGGCTCACCCTCGCCCTTGCTCGCGCCCTCCCATCGCCGGCTCGCCCATGCTCGCGTGCTCCCATCGCCGGCTCGCCCTCGCTATTGCTTGCGCCCTCCCGCCGCTGGCTTGCCTTGCTCGCGCGCTCCCGCCGCCGGTGAGAGAAGGAGAAAGGAAAGGGGTGCGGTGAAAAAAAAAAGGTAGGCCAGAGGGTTACCGCGCGCGTGCGAAGTGGGATGGCGCTGTCCGCCAGATTTTCGCGGATGAGATCGTCCCGAATATTGGAGGAATATTCTCTTGTTGGAACCATCCTATCCCTCCTAATCTCTCAACCAAACACTTGGTTTTGGGGATCATCCCATCCCATCCCGGGATATCCCTCCAACCAAACACTACCTTATATGTGTGTTGAGTGGATCCACAAAATCGTCCCTTTATAAGGGCACCCACAATGGTTATCTATAAGCTATCTACAAGAGATCCATGTCAGCATATTTTCCTACTTGGAAGATATTAAATGAAGAGAGAGAGCAAAGCTATCTACTAGATTAGAGATAGTCTATAGAGAAAAACGAGGTAATGCATGAGAGAGCTATAGATACCTATGTAGACATACTATTGAGGTGGTTTACTATTAATCTAGTCTATTGCTGAGATGTACATGTTTTATAGAGAGCACCCTACTTTACCATTGCGGGTGCTCTAAGCGTGTTGAAGGGATTGGGGGTGATTCCTTCTCGAGAAAAACAGTGTGTCCGATCATCGTGCTAAAAAGAGAAATGTGCAAGAGAATGCGTGAGATTCGTTCCTCGATGTTAGGGAGCACGTGGGCGTTGGTGGGCCGAGCCCATCGCTCTATTTTCTGACCCGGTGGCCAAAGATCAACCTACACAGCAAAATACTAATAGCGAGACAAAACCTAGCCGAGAGCTTTGTCTGATCATTAATTTGTTTAGCTCAACAAAAGTACAAAACATTATAGACTTTTAGACAAAGTGCTGACTTACCAAAGATGCATTTGAGATGTCAATGCTATGCTCATTCGCATTTATATACAGCTTATTTAATCACTTATATTTGGATATTAGCATGTTCACTGAGACACAAGCGAAGAATTTTTAATGGTAAATTAATAATAGCCCTATAAAATATAGGGGAAAGAAAAAGCTAGAGATGTGGGCAGATGCTACAGCTAGCTGTGCAGCATTAATATGAGTGCTAATAATTTGATTTTAGTTAGGGAGCTAATGTAATCAACTAATCATGCTGTGGCTCTGACCAAACAAATTTACCTGTCATGTTGAGACGTGCAACGGCTCAGAAAGGCTTGTTCGACCAACGTACTGAAGCTTCCCGCCCACCAAAGCTTGACATCTGAAGGGCATCTAAAAACAAAACTTTAAGAAACACACTCCGATCCCATTTATTTAAGTATTTTTTCAGCGAACTTTACTTTGTGTAATGTTTACATTTCTAACAAACCTGATTCACTCAAGTTATGTTTGGTTTTGTATTGATGAAAAAAAAAACTATAGTAGCACCTTAATTATTATGGTGGCAGAGTTTACGGTTGCGTGACTGCCTGTAGGTTTAGATCCCACGGTTCCCACAATTACCCACACATATGGGTGCACTTCTATTAGGAATTTTAGTGGATTTTATTGCTAAATAGACACAATAGATAAAATAAGAC